CCCCCCCCCCCCAAAGTTCAGGTCTAAGTACGCCACTGTACAGGGGTATAAAAGGGATGAAAACTGCAGTAATAAATTAATAATTGTTATAGAAAATGTAATGATAAATTAAATTGCATATAATAAAAATAGACAAGAAATACTAAAATTCTATAAATTATAATAATAATGATTATTATTATAAAAAATTAATAATTTTTTAGAATAGTTGTAAGTAATAATAATTTATTATCTTTAAACCACAAATATGTAAATATAAATTGTTGAAACTAAATAAAAGGTTTTGATAATTGCTAAAGGTGGTTTACTAAAATAATTAATACATTTTTAAATTTATGATGACAATATTAAATTCCAGTACTTATTAAAAATATAACAATTAATAACATTTTTATGCATAAAAAGCAATAACTATCAATTAAAATAATTGGTTAATTTTCATAATATAAATTTAAAATATAAGCTTTTAGATAAAATACAAAAATTTTTGAATAATATCACTTACCGTCAAATGATAAAAAGATTAGATCATAAAATGTCCTATACCAAAAATGATCCAACAGTTACTGAAGTTGTACCGAGAAGGTTCTCGGCAAATACAATGGCAAAACTATTCAGTTCAGGGTGAAAAAGAGTCAATCAAATAACATACAAATGAATTATTCATAAATTTAATAAATGTAACAGCAAGGTCAATGGATAAACTATTATTGACTTATGAATACAGTATTAAAAAGAGAGAAAACAAAAAAATTATGTCTATATATATATAGACATAATTAAAGGAAATTTTGGAGTGAATAAATCCAATAAGGTCATTGTTCTCTGCTTAAAATTTACATAGAAAACTATTCATCAGATACAATAGTTGATTTTGAAGAAACACAAGAATTATTTTCACGTTTTTGTTGAGAATTATTTGCTTCGGCTGCCAAACGTTCCATTAATTCATGATCATAAGTTGAGTGTAACATTAAAGCTAAGACTCCAGCTCTTGAAGACATTCTATGACGTATTTGGCGTTCCTTTTCAACCAGTTCATCCAATTTCAACCACTAAAAAAAATAAATAAATGATTTTTATTTCATAGGCAGGCATACTTATAATATACATTTTTATACAATTTTGTTAACAGTTAAGTTCTCTCATAATATTGTTATTGATTACTTTATATAAAACATTAACAAAAATTAACTAAGTTTCATCAAATGTTATAAATATTTCAAACATATGCTTAAAAAATTAGAAATGTCATATTTTATACAAAATATGAAAATATGAATAAATGTAAAATAACAAATATTATTAATTTTATACTATTTAATGAGTAATATAAGAAAAAAAATGCAAACTACAAAATATTTTACCTTAAATATAGACAATCAACATTTATACTTTATATTTTTCCAATTCTTTATACTTTAGAATTAGGTTAATATAAATAACTAACCTAAACTATTAACAACTAACAATATAAACTGTCTTAATTTTGAAAAATATTTAAATTTAAAATTATCGAACCTGGCGAACTCTCTCCATATCAATTTCTGCTCGCCTCAATTTATCCCAACAGTAATGTTTAATACAGGTTTTTTTAGGAGCCTGGCAAAATTCTCCAGTTAAATTGAAAACATTTGAAACAAGAGGGCAACCACAAACCTGGAATTTAAAAACAACAAAAATAAAATTATAATCCAGTATATAACTTATTCACATACTAAATATATTTATATACATTTTTAAAATAACAATTTTAACTAATATAACAAAATCATTATTATATTATTCATGTAAAATATTTTTTTTTTCAATTATTGCAAAAATTAAATTGGTAATATACAATATTAAGGCATTTTTCAACCATTCATATACAGTTTAATATAAGTACTTATTTTTACCTCAGTATCACTAATGACTGTTGAATCCTTAAAATGCTCTGGACATAAAACTCTTAATCGTTTACAATATGTACCTTGTGAAGGGTTATAAAAGTCACAAAACATATTGTTACCATCAATTCTAGTCTTGTAAATTGAACCAAATGATGCCTGGCTCTCAAACTAAAATATTTTGAAACATTATGAAAATATATTAAACTTATTTTTAAGCCAATGTTATAAAATGCAAACCTTATTAAAACATTTTTCCATATGTTTAACAGCAGTTCTTGTATGAATTTCATGTCCACAAGTAACACAATGCATGCTCATTTCTTCATCAATATCTTGCACTTCTTGGTTCAGATCAACAGTCAACAATGAAGATTTTTCTAATAACATGTCTAGTTCCTTTTTATTTTGTATACCATAAAAAAATTAGTACTAAATATTAATAATAATTAAAAAAAAATAATTTAGCCTTTACAAATCACTATTTTTTATACTTATAAAATAAAACTTTACTTAATAAATAAATAACTTAACTGAATTTTTTTTTTATTCTATTATTATTTCATTTTTTCTATTATTATAATAATAACAATAATTTAGGCTATAGGTAGGTATTATTTATTTACAGGTTATGTTAAGAACATTTTCTATAAATATCTTTAAATAAAAAAAGATTTAAGATATTGATGAATTAATTTGACAATAGTTGAATATATTAATAATCAATATATATCCTACAAAGCATAAAAATACAATAAATAAAAATTGACAATAATATAGTTTTAATTTAGTACATTTTAACCCAAAAAATGTATACAAAACTATTATATATAAAAAAAACAATAAAAATATAAAAATTGTAAAGTTTTAATACTCATTTTATTTTAAGTATATTGTAAAGAAGTGCATCATTAGAGATGGTCACATTTTAAGAGATTATAAATAACGGTTCTTACGGTGCACAGAAAAAAACATCAAATAATAAACTCCAAAGGTCCTAAAACCTAATTGGATACAATTGTGATTGTATACAAGTCCACCCTCAAAGAAGGTTGCCTTTGGTCAAATGACCAACCCACTATACTCTTCAGGGAAACACCTACAAAATCCTTTAAGAAACTCCTTGTGGCAAGTCATAACTGTATACGCACTAATGTCAACCACCCTATTTTTCACTATTTAAAATAAAGAAGTTGTTTACAATGTGTGCACATGAATTTCGCAGAATTCATAACTAAAGTGCAACACAATTATCATATCTAAATACAAATTCTGTACAAGTGTCATGTGTGTGTTTCACTTCACTCAGTAAAAATTGAAAATCCCTATAACTATAATCTTTATAACAAAAACAAAAATTTGATTTTTTTTAAAAACCAATAAACCAAAACTTCCATATAAATTATAAAAAATTAAAATGTATTCTTACTTTATGTCTTTTATCTAACTCTTTCAATATATCCCTAACTTCAAGTTGTTCTTTTCTGACTAATTCTAAGTCTTTTTTATTTGTTTCTTCTGCAATACATGGAGATAAGCTCCATTCTTGGAGTCTTGGAGGTAGTACCTACAGTAGTAAAATAATAATTTTACAATTTGTTACATGAAAGACTATAACTTTATGCAGCAAGAAAACTTAAGATGTTGAGGAATGTGCATAGTTTATGGTTTTTATTAATAAGACAGTAGTCATTTATGGAAAAGTATGTAGTATTTTTTTTTCATTAACTATTCAATAGTAATAATAAATTTACTACCTAGACAATTTATACTTACATGAAAAATTCTAGCATTGGCTAAACTCATACCACATTTATCTGAGCAATATTTAGAATTTAACCTTGCTATTTGAGTGCAACCAGGACCATAACAATGATCACGATTTAATAGTGGAATATTAATGTGATCTCCATCAGAGCTAGAATCTTTACGTTTTCTCTTAATAGACTTAGATAAAGACCTAATTTCCTATCGAAAAAATATGTTACAATATTCAAATTAATTTATAACACATTTCAAAATTTTACTTGTATATTAGCACTTAAACATTTTTTGTTTTCACATAAATCTGTACCACCAAATCTTCTCATTTCTGAACATCCAAAACAAAAACCACAATTTTCAACTCGTTTACAATTTTCACAGCGACCACAAGATCTATGTTTAGGTTGGTGTTTTTCACGATTATCTATTATACAAAATTATATAAAAAAAACCAAAAACTACATAAAATGTAAACATAATATTAAGAATAGTTCATATAAATATAAAAACTTTTGTTTAGATATATTTATAATATATAATTTTTTTTGTTGTTTTTTTAACTTACCACGCTTACTTCCAACATATTGATCATTTTTATCTTTAAAATCACTACGATTTATTGAAGTTTTGAATACTGTTTTCAAAGAAGCATCTTCTGCTTTACATTTCTAAAATAATATAAAACAATTTTTAATAGTTCAAGCATTTCTTTTTAAATTTTAAATCAAATAATATGGTGCATGGACATACATCACAATAATAATGTTTAATAAGCTTGGACTGTTTTTTTGTAATTCCAATACAATCACCATGATACCAATCTTCACAAGCATCACATCCACTATAAATTATAAAATAAAATGTAATTAATGTATGATAATTTAATAAAAAAAAATAATATCTCAATTAAATTCTTATTGTATTTTAATGAACTGTATACTAAATACATTTTATAAATTACAGTATAAGATACTGCAAGAATTAAGATAATTGGGAATAGCGTTATTCTTACTCTTTTTTATCTAAATATTTTAAAGTCATCATGATAAAAATTTTAAATTTTAAAATGTTTACTAGAAATTAATTTTGAATTTTCAGATTAGTGTCTTCATATTATATTAGCATGGTTAGGTTTATTATGTTTCACTATCAATATATATTCACCTCCATCAAAGTATTTAACTAAACTATTTGGCTTTATTTGTATAAAGTATTCATAGCAAATCTAGCAACATGTTTGTCAGAAAATTTAAAAATTACATTTATATTCCTAGATATTAATTAAATTAAAAACTTAAAAAATGTCTAGATACGGCCTTGTCAAAGTTAAAACATAATTCAATTACATCATAAATCTAGAGCTGTCTGATGATCGACAAATACAATAAGCTTGTCCATCTTGTTTAAGTAATGTTGCAATTTTCGATTTACGCTCAGGAAGCATAAATTGCTTGGCAATTTCTTCTTTCTGTAACATAATAAACATAACTTTTGAAGAACATTAAAATAAACAGATTATTAATACTTACAGAAAGGCGCGGCATATTTATAATATTGGTAACTAATTATAAATCCTAAAAAATATATTATGCTTTGTTATATAAAATATTGTCTCTGGCTGTAGTTGTTTCTATAGATATGTAATAACTATCAAAAATCAAAATAATTAATCGTAAGATTTACAGTTTATATGTTGACTTTCTAAACGTTTTTATCAAATTAAAACTAATAAAAACCATAGAATATAAAATAATGGATAGTCCTTAAAAGTTTATCACAAAGAAATGATTATTGAAAAAATTGAGGTTACAAGGGATCTTATCACTAATCAGTTTGAAATTTGAATCATTTGTGATTCACTAACTATATTATTTTAGTCCGTAATATACATCAACATATATTATATATGCCTACCTCAATAAAATGAATAAAAATTATAAATCGCAGATACTCAGAATTAATAAAATAATTAATAATTCTGTGACTGAGACAGAATCTTTCTATATACAATCCTATCTCAATAAAATGAACAAAAATCATAAATCGCAGATATTCAGAATGAATAAAATAATAAATAATTCTGTGACTGAGACAGAATCAAGACAATTGACTCGCGGCTACACAAGCACGTAATCAGACATTTTTCTATAAAGAGACCAACATTTATTGGCCCCTTTTGTACCCAATACTACTCTTCTTATCAGACAATATCCATAAAAAATAATACTACATTTCAATATATTGTGTATTGGTTAAGCACAGTGCTCGAAGGGGGGAGTATGGAGGGATAGCATCCCTCTACTTTTTTGTATTTACAGTTTTCATCCCTCTATTTGTTTTGTCTAGAATAACGCATCCCTCCTAAGACTTGTATTTTAAAATGATATACTTATCATTTTTATATTTATGTATAAGACATTTTTTTTTTTTTCATTGAAAATAATTGTTTTTAACATTCAGGCCCAGGCACCCAGCTTATTGTGTTGTTTAGTATAAGTCGTTTCGCAACTCGTATTATACCCATATTTAGAGCCACGGACTAAGATAATATACTTTATATGAACTATAAAAAAAAAAAAAAAATATAGGTACACAAGATGTGAAGAATGTTATGATGATATCAGGAAATCTAAATTATAAGACATCCCTTCACTTATCTTGAGCAATTTAGACCACTGTTTAAGCATTATATTTTTATTATATAAAGGTTAGGTTATATAGGTATACAATATACATCTTAAACAACTATATAAGGACAAGTCGCCTATTTTTATTGTTCGCTGCAAATGTTTCAGTAAATTCATTTAAATCTAATAATTTTGAATTATATTTCTCAATTGACAACAATGCCAAATTATTCAACCTATAACGTTGTATCTCGTATCAACATTTTACGATTAAAGTAATAAATTAAAATACTAATAAACGCTTACATGTTATAAAGTAATTTGAAAATTTAGCACTGGCCAGATTAAGAATGTACATGGATTCATACATATCAGTTGCCCATCCCTGCTATATAACAACAATACATTTAGTATATAATAATTTTAATCAAATAGGTATTGAAATATGTATCAATTTGAATATTTTTAATATGTTTTAACATAGTTGTACAGTCATTATGATATAAACAAAAAAAAAAAAAAAATTCCAAGTTGAATAGAGAGTAGGGGGAAGAGTAACATTTATGCAATCTGTAGTATTTTTATAATACTTATGATAATTTTCAATTTCTTATTTTTACATAAGAACTAGTTGATCCGACAAACGTTATTTTGTCATATAAATTATTTTTAGAGAATACTTTGCTAGAAAAAAATAACTAATTTAATATAGGCATGTAAGGATGTGGATAAGGATAAGGATGTAAGAAAGAAGTATGGAGTGATGTGAACGATGACGAAATATAAAAATAAAAAACCATCAAACATTTAATTTTTTAATAATTTATTAAAATTGATCTCTTTAAATTATATATATATATATATCGCTAATTATGACAATATTAGTAAAAAACAACAACTATCCCTTAATGCAACAGAGTGTACAATATTTTTTGTTATCCCATCTTTCGCCAACACAAACTGGATGCTTCGAGAGCACGCCACGTATAATTGTCCGTGTGAAAAATATGATGTGCTCAAATCTAAGCCACAGACAGACATCGTTTGACCTTGAGACTTATTGATAGTCATTGCAAATACCAATCTAATTGAAAATTGAAGGCGTTTAAAATGTATTGGCACATCTGTGGGTATAATAAAGATTCGCGGTGATAATATATTTTCACCTCAGACTTTGCCATTTAAAATGATGGCTTCGATAACATTTTTCATTAATTTTTTAACGACTTATCGCGTGTCGTTGTACAACCGTGGTGGGTCAAATTACGAAGCAAAATAACCGGAGATCAAAACTTCAATTCTAAATTATGCGGTGGCATGCCTGGTAAATGTAATCAGTTTAAAAACTCTGTTGGATAATTTACAGCTTCAGTAGCATTGCAAACTGTATCAATAGATTTGTATGACACCAAGTCTCCTGGTAACAAATGTTGTATCTTGAGATTCAATTCGTTGACGTCCACATTTTTTGCTACTAAAATTGCTCTTTCTGCCAGTCACTCATGATTTGTGTATTATCTGTGTACATTGGGAAATATCTGGTCATTGAGAGCATCTTGCGAATAAATGATTGTGCAGAAATCGGTCGGTAATTTTATACATCCCGTTTCATCTGTATTAACTTTCCCATCTCTTATATCTAAAAATTGTTTTGAGAATCTTCACAAGTATCGAAATCGTTCGCTTTCTATCTTTACATACATTTTGATCATGAATTGTTGACAAAGCTTATAACATCATTGAATAACTTTGTCCTGATCGCGTCTAATCATCAACCGATATGCATAATAATTCTTCGAACTAACATTCTTATTTGTTTTGGCACCTGTTCGGGATGTTGTTGTTTAATATTTATGCAATACCCGAAATTAAATACTAAAAATAAAATTAATAGTTTTTTAATAGTTCTATTTTATAATTCATTTTCAATTGCGCAATTATCGACCGGGTCAAAAATTATTAAATTAAACTATGATTTATTAAATAATAGCACTTTTCCAAAAATTTTTTTCGTAAAAACCTTCTCCTGGCAATTACGAATAACTAAAAAAAATTTGAGTCAAATTGGCCCAGACGTTCCAAATTAATGAAATGTTATAAATTTTTGGCTCCATTTATATATATATATATATAAATTACATTTTCTGGGTTAGGGAAAAAATATAATGCACTTAAAGGCTATAGCCACCTAAGGAAAAATGTAAATATTTACTAGACTGATTGTTTTATAATAATGTATTTTTGTTATAATAAATAATAACTTTAATTAATTTTAACCTTAGATCATATACTATAGTATATTATTTAAGGTTTCAACACAGACTATTTATTTTTTAATTAATGATTACTAAAAAAGAAATAATGATATTCACTATGGATGATAAATAATTAACTGGCATAACACATGAGCTCATAAAACATTATAATTAAAATTTTTATTGTAAAAATTTCTTTGTTATACTTTGTTAGGTTTTTACAGCTATCCTAGTCACATTTTTAAGTATACATATAATATAATAATTTCACTTGAAAGCTTCATTTGTTTATTTATAAAATAAGTATCAAAAATATAATTTTATAAGATGACAATAAAAAATATATTAAACTTAATAATTCAGAAAAATCAAATGTATTTCAATTGTATTTTTGTTTTATTTATTAAATGTCTTAAATAAACAAGTATTTATCAAATACATTATTTTTAAATATACTTAAGACAGTCGACATGTATGAAATATGAATACATAAAAATATTTTTTGCACTTCTATTTCATATACTAAATAGGATATTTCTTAATTCATGAATTAAGAAAAGTTATACTGATTAATTAAAAGGTCACATCAGTTAAATAATACTTTATATAAAAAGGTATTCAGAAATATTAATAGGTAAACTATTTATATTGACAATCAATTATAAATCAAAATACACCTATAAAACAATTCATTAATATAATTAAGAATGCTCTTGAATAACTCTATTCAGTTCTTCATCTCGTTTTTGTTTGGTATGTGACATAAATTGATCTAATTCTTCATCTAAATCTTCTTTAGAATAAACATGTTCTTTACGAGGAAATGGATCTCTAAAAAAATATTTAATAAAAATCAATTAAAATTAATTTTGATTGACCAACGATGTAATTAAACATGTATAGTAAATATACTTTCTATACATATACAAATATGAAATATAATCACTTAAATCTTATCACAAATTTAAAATTAAATGTTATTTCATTATCATATTTTGGTTTCTTTGAAGTTTATATGTAAATATACATATTAGACAAATTATAATTTCATATAATTTTTATCTATATCTGCTGTTTTTAAGGCTAAATAATTTGTTTTTTTTTAAATACTATAATTCTTGGATAGGAAAAAATACCAAAAACCCTTCTTGTAAACTAAGTCTGACCATATCCCATTTTATTAAATAAAGTATTCATACACTAACTACATTTCTAAAATTACATAAATTTACTTCCTTGTATATATAAATATGATTATTAATTTTATCTTATGATATAGCTATGAAAATCAGTGCTTGACTTGAGGGGGAACGTAAGGGGATGGAGTACCCCAACTAATTTTCAGAAATTTTAGCATTTCCCCACTATTATTACGTTATAATTATATTGCTTAACAAGTTTTGGTGACACTCTTTTTATTAAAGTAAATAAAGTACCCTTTCTTTAATCTTGCCAAGTTGAAAACTGATTAGAATGAATATGTATATACATTTGATATTAAATTTTTATTTATTTAATAAATAAGGAAATTAGTAATAACTGTTTAGATGATTATTAAGCAATAGTATAATAGTTTAAGTAGGAATATTGAATAAAGAACAGCATCATTATTTTTAATTAAATTTAGTTCATTATAAAAATCTTTTTCAATTAGAAAATAACTGAAGTTTGAAGTGTTAATTATTAATATAATATACAAACAACAGAAATAAAAAAAAATATAAATAATTTTAGAAAGAAATTAGCTAATACTTTAGTAATATTTTGGATACCCTTTAGTTTTAAATTCTTAATAATTATGTTTATGGAATATCAGTTGCAAGTTGTCATTTTGTATCATATAAAATAATTTATCTAGATTGCAATTGTTTAAAAATATAATGTTGAAACTAACCTTTGTTTTGAGGTTTGTCGTTTTTTATTTCTAGATCTAGAAACTGGAGTAGAATTAGCATTACTTGCATCAGTATTCACATTTAAAGCAACGGATTCTCGAACCTTATTCTTCAGACCTCCTAAACAAATAATATAATAAAAATTAATAGTTCTTACATGATGAATTTAAATAAACTAACTTCTTCTTCTTATTCTCCGTCTATCTTCTACTACTGGAACTCGACCCAGGGCAAGTCGTTCGTGAACAGGAACACCTAATCTATCTGTTGATCTAATCATGTCATGCATAAGATTATTGTACATACGATTATTGATTTCGGGTCTTGGAGGAGGTAAGGGAGGAAATGGTACTCGAAGGCGGTCTCTATTTACATAATCCTGGAAAAAACATTAGAATTTAAGATTATCAAACATTTATCATCAATCAAATATTTATTTAAAACACACTTGATTCATTAATAATGAAGCGGCTACTTTAGATCTACGTTCCACACCAAATGAGAGTATACGGTGTTTCCTTAGAATTTCATCCTCTCCAATAGTTTTGGATTTCTGTTGTATTTGCGTGAACCTGTGTAGGAGACAGAAAAATATTTCAATGCATTGATGATCTTAATGGAAATTATTTTCATACCTGTCATTCAAGCTCATACCGGTGTTTTTGACTAACAGATTGTTCTTTCTCATTGATGACATTTCTTGTTTATTTATATTCGACAATATTTTCAACGAGTTTATATTTACTAGGCGTACGGAAGGTATTCGACGACGATTTTTAACATAATATTATTAATATAACAGAAATCGACAGCGGTGATGCGTTTCGGAAACTCAGTAAATTATATCACAACCAAAATATGATATTTTGATTTTTTTTGGAAAACGACAAGACATAAATCTTAATACGGTCCGTGTTGAATCGATTAACTCGAAGCAGAAAGTCGTCGCGACACCTAACGAAATAAGGACGAACACAAACGCACCAAAGACCGAAAATCGAACTTACGGGAACGAAAAATGATTACAGCTCTCAACAACAATCGGATAATGATAAATCATAGAGTAATATCACAGAATTACTCTATGTGATAAACGAGGGAGATCCGTCGTTAACGTCATACCGGTTCGTTGGACGGAGTTGGGGGCAGTTGTCCGAAAAATGATAAGGACTGGAATCGAAAGACGGCGGCATAAAATGTGTTGCCAACATAAAACTCTAAAAATTTCTAAAAATTATATTATAAAATTATTTTTTTGTTTAAGAAGTTATACTGTTGCATTATAATGATAATTATTTGTTTTTGAATACACTTCCATCGTTCAATATTGTTGCTTAATTCTTTGTGAAAACAAAATTTAAAATTTTACCTTTTCCGCTGTACATATATTGTATACTATTAATTTATATATATATTAAATTGCACGGGCATGAACAAATAACGACTGAAAAGTTTATTTGGTTCAATAGATGAAATAATATTACCTTTATTATCCTTATTTCTAAATAATATGATATTGTTATTTATTCGATTTGACACGGAACGGAATTGGTATATCTATTTAAAAAATTCGGGATGGAACTAGTATATCTTTAAATTTCATTTTTATTTTTGGGACGAAACTCGGATGCAGCCAAGGCCGGATTAAAGAAGGGTCTAACTGGGGCGATAGCCCCGGGGTCCTCTTGAATACCCAAATGAAAGGGGCCCAAATAATTTTAAGCCGATACACATTTTTTATCATACTAAAATTAGTAGTTTTATAGACATAAATTGTATATATCTATTAATTTTATAATGCAATTGAAAATTTGTGAAATAGTTAAAACGATGTATCGTTTTGTATTCTGCGAGCGTAGCGAGCATCTTTGTATAGCATGTTTTTTTTCAAAAGAGTCCATATAAAATTTCAGCTCCGGGGCCCAATAGGTGCTTAATCCAGCCTTGCATATAACAAAATATAGCTATTATTATTTTCGTGACGTACAATCATAATTAGATGAAAACAAACAAATGGTAATAAATCATAAATAAATAATTAAAATAAATATATACAATTCAGAGTCCATCTAAAAACTTAAAACACAAATCTTCGAAAAGTATGTTTCATAAATTCTTTGATGTAGCTCTTTTAAAAATAACGTTTTATGACTTTATTATATCATACATATTTTTCAGTTGGGGGGGGGGGCTGGCAAGGGGGTTTAACTGTTTTCTAGAAGGGCTAAGATCTCTCCCTTGCCGCCATGTCTGCGCGGGCAGCAGGACATAAGTTCTCTATGCCGGCATCTCCCATTGGGCTATGGCGACGAACGATTAACTATTGGATGGAAAAAAAATATTTCATGCACACAACCCATCCGACCCCTACAGTTTTAGAGAAAAGAAAAAACCAAAAAAACGACACGTTAATTAAATTGAAAGAAATAATACATAGAATAGTTATTGAAAGTTTTAACATAAACATATAAAAAAAAAAATATTAGATTAGGTTGGTCACTCATAAACATAATACAAATATATAATATATAGTCTTTGGTGTGTCTACTAGTAGGAAATTTGATATAGGAGAAAACAAAAAATGTAATAACTAACAAAATGAAACAATTTTATTTTTAAATCTATTTCCATACTGGCTTGGACAAAAATTAATGTTTTTATGATTCTATCATAATTAAATAATACTACACTTTATACACACGTTAAAATATTCATGATGGTACCTATACAGCTATACAGTACATACTGAAACGATTGATTGGCTATTTAATAAATATACTTCTAATACTAATTTTTTATTATACGGAGATTACAATCTACCACAGGTGCGTTTCACTAGTAATGATATTGGCCTAATATGTAATTGGACATTTTCGTCTCGTTCAGAAATTATATTTGATTGTTTTTCATCGCTAAACCTACACCAATTAAATAATATTTTAAATGTACATGGTTCTCAACTCGATTTGGTTTTTTCAAATAACCCACTGGTAAATGTTATGCCCTTAGACGATAGTATAGTTCCAATAGATCTGTACCACTCAGTATTAACTACAAATTACAACGTAACAGTGGCGGCTCATGAGGTTCACATAAGGTGGTGCACAAATAATTTTTAAGATATGTAGGTGGGTAAAAAAAAAATATTAATTTTATAATAGGTATAGGTACAAATAACATAATTATCTATATATTTATATATATAAATTAATTGCTGTTTGTTAGTTACACGAATAATAATATACGTTAACGTCGGTGGTCGATAGTAAACAGAAAAAAACGATTGTTGCTTTGAATTTAAGATAATGACTAACATTATCAGCTGATTTTTTTTTTTTTTTTTTTTTTTATTAGCTTTTAGTATACAACTATGATAGCTCGACATTTATAGAGATTATAAATAAAACAACATTATACATTAAACATTAGTGTACATATTAAATAATGAAGCCAGCATCCAATATAAAGGAAATTATTAATTTGATGGCGGTAGTGGATTTTGTGTTAAGTATGGAGTGGATATTTAAGGGGATATTAAGAGTCTTAAGTTCATTAATTAAAATAATGCGATTGAGTTGAAGTGCAGGGCAGTCGAGTAGAATATGGGATAAGTCACAAATGCATTCATTTAAGTGAAGAGTACAGAATGGAGAATCATTAAGGCCAAGTTTGAAGGAGTGACTAGGAAGAAGGTGATGTCCTATGCGTAGCCTATTAAATTGTACTATATATGGTCTATGTAAGTATAAGTTATTGAACCAGGTTTTTTTTGGGATATTTGGTGTAATATTTCTGTATCTTGAGGCGAATTCGGCAGGTAGATTGTTCCAGAGAGAGAACCAAATATTAGTAGAGTATTGTTTTATAAGCGATGTGAAGTCAGAATGGGGGAGTTGAGAAATAGAAGGAAAGATGAGATTGGATGAAGATTTAGCAAGGTGGTCTGCAACTTCATTACCATGTATGCCTGTATGACTAGGAACCCAAAGAAAGTGGATGTTATAGTTAGTTTGATTTAATGTAAAAATAAGGGACTTGATGCGAAGAATAAGTGGAGACAGGTGAGAGTTAAATGGGTTTGAATTTAAGGCTTGGAGGCACGACATAGAATCTGAGACAATTAAGTAATTGTTGGGGGGGAAAATTTTGAATAAGTTTTAGGGCTTCGGTGATGGCATAACACTCAGCTGTAAAGGAAGAAGACGTAGGAGGAAGGTTATTGTTAAAAGAGAGCTGTAGATCAGGGATATAGAATGCATATCCAGCAGAGAGAGGGGAGACTGATCCATCAGTATAAATCGCGATGAAGTTTAAAAAACGTTCATTAAGATAATTCAAAACGGCTGCATTAACCGAGGAAGAAGACATAGATTTAAAATCATTGGAGGATAGATCTAAAAATTTATTATCAGAATGAATCTGAGGGGAAAAGATAAGAGAGTCGTAAGATTGCTCGTAAAGAGGGAGTTTAGTTGAATTGATAATATATTGGTGGAAATTTGAGATAGAATGTGCTATAATTGATAATACGGGCATAGATTTAGGAACATATCGCCAATTAAGGTACAGTGAGTAATAAATGTCAAAGATACGGTGATCGCTATAGGATAGTGATTTCAAGAGAAATTTGCCGGCAAGCCAGCGGCATCTGATATTAAATGGAGGGCAAGTAGATTCAACTTCCATAGCAGGGCAAGGTGTAGAACTGACGTAACCCATAATGGTTCTGATACATGAGGCTTGGAGTTTATTGATTTTTTTCCAATTAGAAAAGGAAGCCGATCCGAAAAGAAAGCATCCGTAATCAATTTTGGAGCGTATAATAGACAAATATATAGATAATAGACTTGAAGGGTGAGAGCCCCACCAAGTGCCAGTTACCGATCGGAGGAAGTTGGACCATCGAGAAACAAACGCTGTGAGAGTAGAAATATGTGGAATCCAGCGCAATTTGGGGTCGAGAGTGATGCCAAGATAGGTAATATTGGGAACAAAAGGGATAACATAGTTGTTGAGATATGTATTAAGGTTGTTCAAATATCTACGACGAGTGAAAATGATCGATTTGCATTTTTCAGGGGCAACATCAAAAGACACTTTGATTAGAATATCATTCAGATCTATCAGGGCAGAGTTGAGGCTATCGATAGCAAGATTAAGATGTTTATTAGAAGAGAATATTACTAAATCATCAGCGTATATAAGACATTTATGACCAGACTGAGAGAGATGCTTTTCAACAATACTCATATATACATTGAAAAGGATTGGGCTGAGGCAGCTACCTTGTGGAAGGCCAGTGAAAGTGGATCGAGTGTTTGACGATCTGAAGGGAGAGAAGAAAACAAGTTTTCTGAAATTGAAGAGAGCAGATAGAACATTACAGAACTTAGGGGGGACATTTAATGAGAGAAGATAGGTAATGAGGGTAGGAATGTTCACGGAATCGAAGGCGCCGCGGATGTCCACAAATGTGGCGACAAGGAATTCCTTATTATTAAAAGCATGGTAAATGTTACCAATGAAAGTCGAGAGGCATTCCATAGTACCTAAACCCTTCCTAAAGGCAAACAAGTTTGCAGGTAGAACAGAGTTGGATTCTAGCCACCAATCAAGTCTTGTTTTCAGCATATATTCGAAAACTTTGCAAAGAGAGGAAGAGAGAGCAATTGGACGAAAGGAATCATTTGAATTAGGTTTGGGGATAGGGATGACACGATAAGATGTCCATGAAGGAGGAACCTGATTGGATGATAGAATGTTATTCATAATAGTTAGAAGGTAAACCAGAGCATTAGAGGGGAGGTGTTTTAGCATGATAGGTGAAATGTTGTCAAGACCGGAAGCAGTAGATTTTCGTGAAGATATGGCTAAATTTAATTCTGACATGGTAAAAATATTGGTGAGAATATGGGGTGGAGAGTATAGAGAGTGATCAGAAGGGCAAATCTCTGATATAGAAGGGACATAGCACGGAGCGACTTTAAAACAAAAAGAGTCGAACCAATCGTCATTATCTGGAGGTCTGACTGGGTTGATACAGTTTTTATAGCGCTTAGCTGTTGACCAAAGGTGATGTATGGGGAAAGATGGATTTAGATTATAACAAAATTTTTTCCATTTTTTCCTCTTTTCATTTTTTAATAGCCTGGTAGTTTGGGCACAAGCGTTTCGGTAATTAATAAAGTCAACCATGGAGCCTGAGCGACGAAAGTTTCTAAAAAGAAGGGTTCTGTTTTTGACAGCTTCGGTACAGTCAGAATTCCACCAGGGAGGGGAGGGTGGATAGGGATTGGAATTTAATCTTTTCTTAGGAATTGTAGAATTGGCGGAGTTGTTTATAATACTTGTAAAGGTAGAATAGGAAAAAACTGGAGAGGGAGAATTTGTCAATGAAGAGATAGAATTATGAATTTGAATAGAATACGATGACCAGTTGGCTTTATTGAAGTTAAAAGGTAAATGGATTGGAGGTGCGGAATCTAAGGCGGAACAAAATGGCACAGGATCAGCGATCCTGTTAAAATTAGTTGATATGATAATGGGGATATGATCGCTACCGTGAGGATCATTGAGGACTTGCCAAGATAAATTCCAGATAATATCAGGGGAACAAAAAGATAAATCAATTGCCGAGTTAGTTGAGTTGGGGCGACCCACATGTGTAGGACTACCATCGTTGAGAAGACAAAGACCTAATGAGTCAATGCAATCATAGATCTGAGAACCACGGCGGGATGTAAGTTGAGAGCCCCAAGCGGGATGAAATGCATTAAAGTCGCCACCAAGTAGCGTATTATGCGATATCAGTTTAAAGAATTCATGCCATAAATTGGAAGGAACATTAGAATTACTGGGGATGTAGCAGGACCAAAATTTTAAAGGAGGATGTGAGTTGATAAGATGCACTTCGATACCTATGATGTCGATTTTACAGTGGGTAAATCTATTTCTGGTAGCGATATCTAAAGGAATTTGTTTGGATTTGAGGGAGTTATGGACAGCTATAGCTACACCACCATAGCCATCGGAGCGGTCGGATCTATAGGTTTTGAACTGCGGTATTGCAAGGGCACGTGAAGGTAAAAGCCAGGTTTCAGAGAGAAGTGCAATTGAGCATTTATGATCGGATAGGAGGTGTTGTAAGGATGGGAGACGTGCAGGGAGACTTCTCACATTCCATTGAATAATGTTAGTGTGATTGTTGGAGATATTCTGGTTTTTATATTTATGTAAAAATGCCATGGTAATTTTAATTTATTTTGTTTTTTAATATGTTAGTTTGTGAGTAAATTATATATAGTATTTTCTATAACTGTGGTGAGGACATTTGGTGTATAATACAAGACTAATCAGAGGTGAAATTAGAATCTGGAATATTAAGGAGTGAATTTAGAGAAGATTCAATTAAGGACTGAAGAGAGGTGGATGAAAAGGGGGAAAATAGGGAGGGGGAATTTATAAGAGATTCAGAGAGTTTAAGAGAAAGAGAATGAATCCAAGATAGATCAGCAGATTTATTGTCTCCGGTAAGGCTTTGATTAGGGAGATTGGTTAAACAGCAACCGTTAGGTGAAGAAAAATGAGGTTCAACTGGTAAATTTAATTTATCTTTATTAATCGGGGAGCGAGATTTTTGTTTTATCTTCCTAGAATTGAAATAATGATGGTGATTATTTAGCCTGGGGAAGTTTTCTTCCTCTAGGGAGATATTTGGTTTTAATATTTCAGAGATTGGAGGCTGGCTCTTAACAACATCGGAAAAAGAATAAGCATTAGTGTAACAATTATTTTTTTTAAAAATTAAGGCATCCTTAAAGGAAATGTTTTCGGTGGCCATGATGTGTTTAATTTCTTTTTGAGTGGACCATTCGCGGCAACTACGATCAGTGGCTAAGTGAGGTTGCTTGCAGAAAAGACATACAGGATCAGTGGATTGAGCGCGTGGGCATAAATCAACCGAATGATTGTTTTCACCGCAGTGACTGCACCTGGGACAGCTACGACAATATTTTTGTGTATGTCCAAAACGTAAACAACGATTGCATTGAACGGGAGACCGGACACTGGGCTTGACATCAAAGATCATATTAAATACAGAGATAATGGATGGTATTTTCGGAGCGACGAATTTAAGTTCAACTATACGTGTTTGAACGATTTGATCATTTTTTTTAATACTGATGCGTTTGAATGCATCAATCTTGACTGAGGATCGGACGCCTTCGAAAAATTCAGTTTCTGAGACTGTAGTGTCTAATTTTATTATTCCGTAAGAAAAAATTAGAGTAGAAGGTATAATTGCATTATAATTATTCTCCTTTAAGATGCTTGAATTCAAGCAGCAATTACCATTAAAAATTGTGTCGAAAGAAATTTTTATTTTTTTTGAACCCGCAGGTTTAATATTAGTAATACCAGAGAAATTGTTTGAGAAAAATTTAGCGGCCTTAATAGGATGCCAGTTTCCTAAATTTATATTAGCGTCCGTACTTTCAACGAGAATGGTTATAGGCCCGATATAATCTGGCGAAAACGACTTTTGCAATAAATTGATATGTTTATTAGTGTTTGCCATATCGCTGTTGGTTGGGAAGGTAGATTGAATAGAAGTATCATTAAGTGAAGAAAAAGTACAACCAGTATCGAACTCATTAGAACGATCATTAACAATCAAATCCATATCGTTAGCCGTAGACCCCGACGTAATTGCGGTTAGTGTAGATAAAGAGCTATAATTGAATGAGGAGTTAGATATATCTAGAGTCGGCGGGTTGTCAATAATTTGTTGGAAATTTGGTGAAACTGGACAAGAATTTTTGATTGGCTTACCATTTTTTCCGACTACCTGGTAACCGGGGCCAGCAGTGTTTTTGACTTGTTGATTTTTAAGCTTGTTTGAAAACTGGTTTTGGCCGGCACGATTTGTGCCGCCCGAGGACGACGACATAATTAACGCACAACTAAAATAAGAGCGATAACACGCAGCAAGATAATATAGGTAGTACGACTCAAAGAAAACACGTCTGAACGCTAAGACTGCGAGGAGACGAATGATTATCAGCTGATAATCGGATTATAATAAACAAATGTGAGTAAAAATAAATCTTAATGCCGATGCCAATGCGTAACGGCACCGCGACATAGAAAATAATTCACCGAAAACAATTTAATTGGTTATGTGCACAGAAACGAATGTGCACATAAATTCCATTAAAACGCGCGTTGCGTGTTTCGACTTGTTTTAATTTTTACATTGTACAAATGTGCACACTAATAGTGTGCACTACTGTACCATTATAACACACACACTGATACCGTTCCGTCGCGTACAACCACCTGCCCGTTTGGCATTCGGAAACCCCATCTAAATACTATATTATTTTCATAATATTCCGAATTTATATTTTTATATTTTGAAAAATAATCTTAACAACACTACAGGTATTTAGTTGTATTATTATGGTTTCAATTATTTTTGAGTTAGGATGGGTAGTGCACGTGCACTTGTGCACATATACACGAGCCGCTACTGCACCATAAGTATTTCTCCTGTTCATATCTGTCCTAATTCTTGGTTTTATGATTTCAAAAAAGCAAATTATGACCAATTGAATCTTATCATTGCTAGTTACGATTGGTCTTATATGTATAAATTAAGTGATGTAAACTCTGCAGTAGATATTTTTAATGTTGTAGTTTTAGATGCAATTGATCAAACCGTTCATAAAAAGTTAATTCGTAGTTGTATGTTCCCAAAATGGTTTTCCAAAGAACTCTGTATGCTTATTAAACAGAAAAAACGCCAGCACAAGCTATTTAAGTTGTCCGGTAATAATGCAGATTACGAATCTTTCTCTGCAATAAGAAAAAAATGCAAAATTATGTCTAAGTTATGTTATAATAAATACGTTGAGCAAATCCAATCTTATATGACAAATAATCCTAAGTATTTCTGGAGCTTTATTAGGAATAAACAAAAGAATAATGTCATTCCATTTAACATAACTGATGCTATTACCGTTGCAAAAAATATGGATGATACTGTGAATATTTTTAAATCATACTTTGAATTTGTTTATAGTCAGCCGAATAGCTGCGTCGGTCGCATAAAATGCTATAATACCGATATCAATTTTAACAGTTGCTAGCTCACTATAACAGAAATTTTTGATACTCTTCGTAATTTATCTTATAAAACTCAAAGTGGTCCAGACCAAATTCCCGAAATAATTTATAAAAAGTGTTACTTTTCATTAACTCGTCCTATTCATTATATATTCAATCTTTCTTTATCGTCTGGATGTTTTCCTAGTCAGTGGAAATCCAGCTTTATTTACCCTGTGTTTAAATCAGGTAATCAGAATGTTGTTACAAATTATCATCCTATTTCCCAGTTAAGTTCATTGCCTAAAACTTTTAAAAAATTGTTAGTACCCAAATTTTCAACCGTTCTTAATAAAGTAGTTTCAGATAATCAACACGGGTTTCGACAGTTGAGGTCAACAACGACTAATTTATTAGTCTACTATACTGATCTCATATCACATATTAGTAAAGGTATACAGGTTGATACTGTATATACTGATATTAAGAAAGCGTTTGATAGTGTCAACTTATCTATTCTGGTAAAAAAACTAGAAAGGGTTGGCATTGTTGGACAAATGCAAACATGGCTTATATCATATTTGAAAGGTAGAACTCAACAAGTAAAACTAGGTAATAGTGTCTCTTTGTCTATAAATGTTACATCTGGAGTTCCTCAAGGTGGGCACTTATCATCCCTATTGTTTACACTTTTTATAAATGACGTTAAAGATTTATTTAAAAACAGTAATTTCTTAATGTTTGCGGATGATTTAAAACTATACATGCCTATCTACTCTCACGAAGATTGCCTTAAGTTACAAGCCGATCTTGATGATTTTTGCTTACGGCGTTCGTTAAATGGGTTGAAAGTTAATGCTGAAAAATGCTCGCAAATTTTATTTTCTCGGAGAAAAAAAAATACTCAATTTCAATATAAAATGAATAACTCTAATTTAATGATTGTAACACAGATAATGGATTTAGGTATACTATTGTCAAACGACTTATCATTTAATAATCACATAACCATAATGTGTAATAAAGCTCTTAGAGTATTCGGTTTTATAAGACGAAACTGCTTAGAATTTAAAAACCCGAATTGCTTTAAACTGTTATATTGTTCCTTAGTCCGTTCTATTCTAGAGTATGGCTCAGTTGTTTGGAATCCTTACCAAATGGGATTAATTAATAAAATTGAACGGGTCCAAAAACGATTTTTGAGAATACTTGCATATAAGGCCAATAGAACCAACGTCTCGCTTGATCAGATAGCTAGTGAATTTAATATCGTATCGCTTAAAAATAGGAGAACATTTCATGATGTGTCTTGGTTATTTAAACTACTAAACTCTCGAATAATTTGTCCAGAACTACTTAGCCAAATACCTCTAAATGTTCCTCAAACCAATAGTCGAGTATCAAAACCGTTCTATATACCTACTTATCGTAATAATTATAGTCAATTCGCTCCGATCAATAGAATGCTAATTTCTAGTAACTCAATAAATAATTTTGATTTTTTTCATGATAATCTAACTAAGTTGAAATCAATATTATTTTAATGTTATCGGTATTATCAATAACCTATTATTATGAAATATCTTAAATACGTTTACAATATTATTATGCATCATTTTGTTTTATTATATAAAGCTAAGTAAATTAATATTAAGTCATATTGTTATTGTATTATGTTCTATATATATAAAGTTTTAAAAAAAAAAAACTGTTCTGAGCCCAGTTGTGGGTGTATACAACTATATAAATAAATATAAAATATAAATATATTACATACCTTTAGTAATAGTGCCGATGCTGCGTACCGCCAGAAAATATAATTTAAATATAAATGTTATTCATTTACAAAAATGTATTCGAATAGTAGAAAATATTGACCAATGAAATACTAAGATCTGTTGTAGATTTTACAGTTAACATTCAAACTCATTTATATTTCAAAACGATTTTCAGTAAGAAACTATTTATTTCTATAACGCATTCGAAAACATAACTATTGATGTAAAAATATATTTGTTATTTGTAGTATGAATACACACCATTTTTTGTAAATTAGATTTTCAGTTATTATCGTGCGTTATGTTGCCGATATCTTAATTTTAAGGTGTTTGTTATTCTTTTTTTATTCTTAGACGATCTTACCAGGTCGTTGGAAATGATTCTTTTTTTGCTACATATGCATTTTCACATTTATTATATACAACTTATTAGTTTCTAAGTAGGCACAATAGTTAATTTTTTATTATCTTGCAGTTTTAAAATGGATTTTACTATTTATGTTGTTCTACTGTTCACGAATTATAGAAAAAAAATTAAAAATAGGATAATGAATATATTTTTATATATAATTTTATATTTTATAATTAATTTTATAATTTTATATACAATTTTAAAATGGTCTGCTTGAAACCTTGTTCACTCGAAAATAAACTGAAATAACGCCCCTGATTTGTATTTAAAATAATTGTTCATGCAACATTGTGTTACCTATAGACAAAAAATAAAAAAAAACAATATTTGGCATGAAAAATATATTATATTATAAAATAAATTATATTTAAGGAAACGTATAAAATGCAGTTATAAATTTAAATAGGTAATTATATTTATATGCATGTATATATTATGTTAATGTGGTTTAACCATGAAAATGTTATGACTAGAGATCAAAATAAAAAAAAAAGTAATCATAAAATAAATAAAATAGTGATAATAAAATAAAAAGGAAGTCTTTGTTCGTATCAGATTAAAATAGTGTTTCTAATACTGACCATTTATAAATACAAATACTAGGCCTTCTCGTTATTATTATGGTTGTAGCATACCTATTATACTCACTTATTATTTAATAACATACAAAATATACAAAATTAAATTAAATTGAACACACATATACCGACTTTGAATAATTTGACTAAATGCAAACTCGTTAAACTCATCGTTACATGGTTAATAAACTTAACTAGTTATTAAAGAAAATTATAATATTACATTTTAACTAATATGCTTATTCGATTAACTATAAAAGGATTGTACAAAATATAATTGAAAACAGTGTTGCAAATCCGCCAGTAAAAATGTACACTTTATACAATTAAATAGGTACTATCAACTTTGCAAAATAAAAATGCTAGTAAAAACGAAATTAATGGCATGATAGTTTCAAAGTGTAAAATTAGCGTTGTTGGCGCACGTATATTATGAATAGAGTGTAATTAGTAATGTGTTTTCTAAATCGCCTGAGTTCCAAACTATTAACTATCTTTTTAACGTTAAACAATGTAATATACCAAATATGATCGGTAAATGGACTGATAACAATGTTTTCATTGTTATAAAAATACTTTTGCTGTCCAAATAAAAATCATGGTTGGTTAATAATAGTATTGGATATCAATGGCTTGCCGTATATAGTCTTTACGAGTAATATTATGATTAAATAATTAAAATAAAAGGAAAGAATAATAAATTGTTAATTAATGAAAAATAAAAATGTGTCCAAGTCCAATGTAATTATTCTACTGCAAGCATCCACGTTTCGATGACCCGATTAGGTGACCGTTCTTTTTACTAAAGTTATAATGTGAAATATGAATACATTTTTTTGCATGTTAGTTAGGTGAGTATGCAATGTTTTCGGTTCGACGTATGCGTAGAAACTGCGAAAACTGTGCATGGCGATCCCTGCTGGCTCGATAGTTATTGGTCGGATAATGTAATTCGGTTTTTTTACGGTGTAACGAAGTCCAACATCAACCCTTGACTGGGTACGCACGTGCCACAATAACCACCACATTTACCAGTTATTTTCGTGTTTCCCTGTATAAATATATTAATAATAATTACTGTATATCTACTGTACGCACTCCTCGTGTTCGGTTGTACTGTAGTAAACGATATTTGCAATACAGAGATTAATAATATTACATAGAAACGGTTGTGAAACTAAGAGCAAAATTTTGAAAAAATTTGTAAATATTTGAATTTTATTTCGTGAATTATTCCAGTTAGGTACGTGATTTGTAAATAGTTTTCAGAAACAATTACACGCATAAAGATAGGCTGAACGTTTTTGATTTTTTAAGAATTTAACAATAATAACAAAAATGGTTTTAAGAAATGTATTCAAACTTCTTGGACTACTAATTAAAAATCTTGTCCTTTCTGTACGATTTGAAAGAGGATTAAACATATATTATTTCGTTGAGATAAAATTCGAGAAACACAATATGTAGGTACCTGTTATATCGATCAATGTTCTGAATGTGCGCGAGAATGGAATTGGAAAATAAAAATGGACGAAGATTTACTCGACGATAATAATAAATAAAATAATATGAGTGTAAAAAAAAAGTAATTTGTATCGTTACCTCTAAATATTTTACCCAAATTGACGTGTTCGACCCTTTGCCCACCCAAGTGGTATCTCGTGATATTTTCATTCCAGTACCCGTCAAGTCGATACTAAATCTGCCTTGCGGACAACCGCTTTTCGATTTGCTATAACAATCACCTGCTTCGCCGTACGGTACGGGTTTGCCTTTAATTTGTTTTGAAAAAGTAAAGTCGTTGGCTGTAAAATGTGTTACGATTATAATAATACAAATAATACAATACCGTGTTATATTATTTAACACGTGTACGTTAAAACTTACCGTCAATTCTTAACGAGGTGATGTTTAAACGGATCTTTTGAAACACGGTCCATCCAGACGAGGGTACAGATCCGTTATCACATGGACAAGGTTGACGGCGTTCACCGTTGAAAGGACATGTGCTTGGATCTCTGAGTCTGTAAACACAGACAGAAGTGGATTAAGAAACGAACCAAGAGAGTGACTTTTTTACAGTGATAGTTTTAAAACAATTTCTATAGTTATTATATAATATTTGAATACTTGCTCTGATTTCTAGACATTTAAAAAACTATATGTATAATCATGGGCATCCAAAAGTAACTTTTCAGGGAGAGGGGGCAACTTAAAATAATTCTCAAATTTAAGCTAAATAAAGTTTTAATATTATTTCAATATAAAAATATAAATATGTCATTGTTTATATAATTAATATTTTCGTGGTATTTAATAATTAAAATACATTTTAAATGTAGGGGAAAAAATGTATTATTTGGTATCAGAAAATAAAAATTATAAATTTCTTCCTTTCATTCCAAATAAATTAATGACATCTTGGATGAAATTATTTTTGTTCAAGTTCACTCTTTCAAGATGAACGCACGTGTTATTCGATAAAATATCTGTAAATTACTTAGGTTAAGGAATTTCCAACAAATTATCCTGGATCGATATTTATCGTTAATTATCGTCAATACGATGACAGTTGTGCATTTTATACTTATTACTAATAATAATAATTATAATAATTATATTTTAAAATAAATTAATAAATTAATATTATTTTATAATATCATGATAATAATACTTGAAAAAATTACTATTTTAAATTATTTTTCCAGGATGGGGGCTGGCTGCCCGTTTGCTCCCTCTAATGGGCGCTCGTGCGTATAACTGAAAGTATTATTCGGTGCCCGTACCGGCCATATATATACTTACTTAATAATCTATTATTAGAACGTTATTAGGGACAAAGTTGAAAAAATGATCACTCAATGATAAAATGGAACCCTGACTAAATTAGTGACCAAAGCCGTACACAATTAATTATTAAATCTGTTTGATGATAATTTTCTTATTCTATTTGGGACAACCTTCTTTTTAATCCACAACCATATACAACAGTGGTATATTCTAACATATGTAACCACGCTATCACACAACAACTGAACGCCGGGACGTAATTACTTGATAATTTGGTTGATTGAAGAGAAGATCCAGGCGATCAAGTTTCGTAACAATTAACAGAATGTGCTCAGTCTCCCAAAAATATATATGGTTTGTCACAAAAAGTTATGGTCTATAACGAAGATTTCATAGCCGTTTTATTTTCCTACTTCTACATCTCTATTTCTTACATCACGAATTCGTTGGTATTCTCAATAAGTAATTGGGTTAATTTTCTTATGATTAGGTGAACTTTCGAATAATACTTTGCATATTTTGTTTAGATTCTCTCTTGTAATTTATAATAGGATACACATCGTAAAAGGCAAAACAATAATTACCCGAGAAGAGATATGCTGGTTATTGAAATCACGATCGAGCACTTCGAGTCAGAAATAGTGTTAAGAAATGGATTGATCAACTATAGATAGAATGATTTATGATGTGTTTAGATTCAATCCATTTTATTTGGATTTCGGATAAAACCTGGCGGATATCTACATTTTTTAGTTTTAAAATAAAAGAATCGACGTTTAATTACCTATTAAAACAGGTAATTTATATGGCGCTTCGAATTTTTAGAAACAATCAAATTCAATCCGGTAATCAGGATCGTTCAAAAATCCAGATAAAATGGGTTATGAAATTTAATAAAATCTGAATGGTTCCGGATAATCGATTCAGACCGGACGCATCAGTACCACCTAGCGAGAAGCCGTACAGAAAATTCACCTGTGTTCGTAGATTTCGGAAAAGTTTTCATTTTCCTTAGATAGGCTGAGGTACTCCGCGGGCTTGCCGGACCTCATGCCGTGGCAGTAAATGGACACGTTATGGCCGAGCACGTTAAGCACGTAATCCTTGTCCACTTGTGGAGTCAGTTCCTGTAAGGACTGTTTGCGCAGCACGTGGGCGCACGACGTGTACCCGGCACACCGGCGCCGGTTGCACTTCCGGTTTTTGCGAGGCTTGGTGGCCAGATCGCAGTATCTCCGGTGTACCCTCTTGACGACGTTCGTTTTGCGGTAACAGTGCACCTGTCTGGTCTGCTGACCCTTTTTCCCACAGGCGTGTGAACACTCGCGCCACTCATCGGATATCCAACCGTACTCGTCGAACGCGGGCGGCGCGGCCATGGTGGTGGACACTGTCGTCGACGCGCACGGCGGTTGGTCGACGCACGCCTTCCGCGCGGCCGGCGGCGGACCCACAGCGGTCACGCAGCGCATCGCGCCGGCCACCGCGTCGCTCCACGATGAGTCCTTGTTGTAGCGCCTGCACACCACGCGTCTGGTGTGGACGCCCGGTCCGCAGGTGGTCGAGCACGCCGACCACTTGGACGTTTTCCAAGTGTATGTGCGGACCGCGGACGGCGACGGGGTCGTGGCCGCGCACGGTGTGGACGTACGGCACGGTTGCACAGTGGCCGGTTTCTCGAGCCCTTCGCATTGCTCCGCCGCCAGTAGTGTTCCCTCGTTGTTTTGGCACTGCACCTGTCGGTGTTGGTGTCCACTGCCGCACGTGACGTTGCACTGCAGCGGTCCGCATCACACAAAACAAACCGTATTAAAATCAAGACAATAATAATATTGTTATCATCGCTATATCATTATATACACGTATGCCAACGTACGCATTGTTATTTTATTTACCTACTTATTTATTTATTTATCGCACGCCCTACAGGACATTCACAAGCACGATTATACCTAGAGCTGGGATTTCGAAGAACTCTGCACGGTTTTCTAAATATTTATTCCGTTGCGATGCTTGTATTGTCACGAATTCACAAAATGTACTTTTAATCGAGAATAGGAAAAAGTTTATGTTTATATTTTTCTAGGTAAATTTTGGTTCAAAGTAATTTACTTCCTTTTTATAGTATTTTAGTGTTTTTTGGGACACAATGAAGAAGATACACAAATTGTAATGTAAACTATGGTCAGCTAACGCCAGGGTTAGCTAACCTAGTTACGCATCCGCACTCTCAAAACAACAATATAGTGTACATTAAAATATAAATGTATAATTATTTTAACACTACCTATTCTTCATATTCAAAAATTTTTTTATTTCAATTAATAAATTTAAAAAATCATATCAGTTTTCTTTGATTTTTAAGCTAATACATTTAAAAATTGTTCGAATTAATTTCTATTGCTTTGTGGTTTATGGACGGTTAATAATGTTAAAACGTTTAGATGGTTTTAAAATTTCATTGGATCAATAAAAACAGTGTCAGTCTATTCATTATTTAACACATTAATTCAGTCAATAATTTTACTCGATAAGTTTTCAGTTTTTATACATTCAAATGTTTTCTCAGGAATTATACCTACCACCTTTAGGTTGGAAATAAAATAAAATAAAATATTGGGAAAAATTATTAGGATTAGGAAATGTGTTATCTTATTTTAGTTTTGATAGTCATATTCTAAGTTAAGCAATATATAACGTTTTGAATGTCGGTGTCCGGGTAAATTTAACCTAACTAACACATTTTTCGAATACTTCATACTCGATTTCATTAAAAATCAAGCATTGAAAATCAGCATATTTTTCTTCTATATAAATTTTGAAATATTACAAACAACACAATAATTGAATGTAAAATAACAGAATAACATTAAACAACAGTTTTAACTTATCATATTTTTCATTGAAAAGTAAGAAATATTTTCGATAACAAAAACAAAAACAACCAAATGGAAAATGTTATCACATACTGACTATGGTTATTGATCAATGATCATATTTCATTTATATCACCACTAAATTGTTATTATTAATTATTATATTATAATAAACACATAAATGTTCACTGTAAATATTATTTATGAAGACTAGAAATATCTCTAGCCTTCATAGTATTCTCTCTTGGAAAATTTGCTTTAAACTGAGGATCTAAATATTTTCCGTATACATTAAAGTTAGTTACATAGATTTTCAGGTTTTCAATAGAATTCTACTCTTTATAAATATTATTAGTGTCTATAACCTATACAATCTGTACCACAACGTTTGGAATTTAATACATATTTAAAATGAACTACTGTCTATGGAATAATATAATTCAATAATATATGTATATACCTATTTAGAATATGTCCAGTTGAAAATTGAAAAAAGGATTATTAGGAAAAATAAATAAATAAAATTATTTAGTATTTGTTAATAAGATATTTAATTCAAAAAATTAGAACTCAATAATCCCTAAATACAAGTGAAAAAAAATAAGTTCATGACTAAATCGACATGATATGTTGTTGATAAAACAGTGGTTAATCATTTAGTATAAGCAATATATATGTATTCTAAGTACGACATTTTTTTTGCAAAGGTAAATAATATTTTATATTATTGTACCGCATACAATGCGTGAAGTATTATGTGTATATAAAAAAAATGCCGCAATTACAATACAAATACTTAATATTTATTTAAGCTGTAACGCAGCAGCATCTAAAATACTTATATCGTAGATACTGGTCAATTCAGTGCCATATTTAATCTTCGGAAACAAATGTGAAACTACTAATTGTATGACCTTTACGTTCAGACCCATGCATAGGATTTTGTCAAGGGGAGAGATAACATTCTTCTTTCAACTGAATGTTCTTTTTTTTAAGTACTCCATTATTTTTTGGTTGGCAAAGTATTCATGTAGTATAAGATTAACATGAGAGGGATGATGAAACGTGTATGAGTGGACCTGACTTGAGAACCTGATGGAAAGCACCCCTAAAACCTACACTAAGTTCAATACAGTAAGCAGCCTATCCCATTTAATATATATAGACGGATAAAATATAGTATACCATAAACAGTCATTGGCATTATAGAATACTTAGATTTATAGTAATGAGCGTCGATAGAATAGAAGATATTAACAAAGTACATACATGTTAGGTTGGATTAAGTGATACATAGTATGGAAATTATAAACGACCGATGACAAATACTTTCAATGCAACATGAATAAAATGTTTTGTGCCGATGTTGAACACAAAAAAACCACATTATAAGACTTGGACGATGTCCATATCCATGCGTATATGATTGTTACATTTTTATATCGTTCCGCCAATATTTATTTAAGTTGCTTGTTGTTTTGTCTTCTATGGGTACTTTTTAATTAAATTATTATAGTTGGAAGAGGTAATGTAATAAAAAATAATTATATTCTTTGTTTAAAAAAAAAGGGAATATTATGGTGGCGAATACTCTTGGAGCATTATGAAGGTCGGGAGAAGAAGTATTTAAAAAAAAACCTTTTTCTCTCTTTTTTTCTCAAAATACTAGTGTATAGTGGTTTTTTGTTAATTATTTTTCATTTCAATTTATTTGTTTTGCTTCTATTCAAGATAAAAACAGGTTATTTAAATCACCAAAAACGAGTAATTTTACTATACCTACATATCTAATATAACTATTAATACCGATTTGTTCATTTGATTGAAAATACTATATTCAATTATTTACAGTTTTAAATCAATAGGGAATTGAGTTAAATTTTACAGTCATAAAGTATTTGATGGAATAAAAGTCGTAGCTTTAAGTATAAGTTAACCGGAAAAGAATTATGAACATCATATAAAATATGAGATGGGGGTTCACTCTGGTAACAATAACACTATTTTTATACAATGTAGTCGTAAAATATATACTATTTATAGATCTTTGGTTAAAATGTACAAAGTAAAGTTATAAATGTTAGTTATAATATACGTAGGTAGGTATGTGAGTACTTCAATTATTAAAATAAGTATTTACAATTTTTAAATTTATAAACATAAAGATTTAGAAATAGAGTTAAAATAAATAATTTACTGTTGTTATTTTAATTATTAAATAAAAAAAAATACACTAGTTATAAATAATTATATGTTTTTTTTATCATCATTATTATCAATGAAATGGTATTTTTATTTCTGATACTAGATTTATAGTTAGGAATTATTGAGCAATTAAGATCAATAGACCTTAAGATATTTTTATTGAAACGATTTTTTTAAATATATTGTAACGATTATATCCTATTTTTGAGAGTCAGTATATTTTTATAGAACATTATTATTTTTATAATTATATATATATTTTTATAATAATAATATATATTTTATAATTTATTATATATAACATTCGATGTATATATAATAAAGGTAAGTTAATTAAACTACATTTGAGCACGTTTTCGAATTATTATTTATAATTAATACAGAATTTTTACAAAATACCTGTAAAGATAAGATGTCACTAAAATTATCACTTAATTAAACGTGCCGAACTTATTATATAACCTAATCCATTTGCTGTTATAAATTATAATTATTTGTGCTGAATAAACTACTTGACAACTCCAATAGTTTTTAAAAACTATTTAATTCGACTAATAATTATTTATGAAGCAAAATATAATACCGATTTATAAATATTCAATTGTTATTTAAATCTATTTGAAAAGTGATTATAAAATGTTATTGTTTTACTTTTTTTATTATTTTGCCACATTGCTCTTTGATAGCAAGAAATTGATTTATAAACTGTTGAGTGGACAGGTTCTTAGAGCGATAATATTTAAATGGTAGTAAATCGTATAATGTATTTCATTTAAGATTTTTATAACAGCAAATTTAAAAAAAATTGCAAACAAATGATTCTTGTCAAATTCATAAATTTTAAATAAACTTTTTTGAGTTTTCTTTACACAGTCATGCTGAAACTTTATTTTTTCGTATTCGTTATGATAAAGAGTGACAATTTTTACGTCAACAGTCGAAAAATACCAAATTCGATTCTGTAAATAGTTATACTTAATTCAAAAGATTTTTTTTTTATATCTACTATATTATATACTATTTTCAAAATAAAATTGTACTAAGTGACTAATGTTAAACTAGTTTTAAATTTTAATCCTGCGATAATTTGAATTTGTTCTTGAACAATATGTTCTGACTGGTTAGTATTTAATACTATTTTTATTGATTGCATATATCTTGGGAACATTATTTAATATAGATGCAAAAATGAGTATACTATATTATTGTTAAACAAAAATGTTTTCAATATATTTTTAAGCTAAATAAACTTGTTAATAAAAATTTGAATATGTTTAGAAAAAACATTATTTTCGTATAATATATTATAATTGTACATTATTATTAGACTTTTAATTAACACAAAATTATATTTTCTATATATTACGCGTTACCTTTGTGATTATGCGTTATACACTATGTGAATAATTCAAATGACTTATACCTTTGACCACTCCCCGAAGTTCCAAACCAATGTAATGTACGCAGGTTGTTGACCGTTGTTGCAGGGTTGTTCGTTGCACGACATAGAAGACGCCGGTTTGTGTTCCACACACATTTCTTCGTCCAATAATTTTCTCGGTCCATCGAAAGGTTGACAGACAACTTTTCTCTCCTTCACCCCACCTCCACACACTTCTGAACACTAGAATAAATTCATGAGTTATATTTAATAATAATAAAAAAAAAAAAATCCGGTAAAACGTAAATGGGTGTTTATTTGAAAGCATGAAAACACGCGCTTTTGGACGTGATACACTGAAACGGGCCATCAATTACGAATGACGACTGATTGATTAAGTACTTACTTCTCCCCAAGGTCCTGTTCTCCAAGTGTAAACTGGCTGACAACTTCTGTGGCTTTCACACGACCTTCGGGATTCGGGTTTTTCTTCTTGTACCGCGCAGTGCGATTCGTCCATAGGTTTACCGCTCACCATCGACACACAAGTCACCTCGCGTTCTTCGAAACCCTATAAAGATTTTAAAAATTTAACCGTTTATAGTGTTCCGTTTTAAAAAAATACAACGATTATCTCTTCCACCGTACTTTGCCACATTCGGCCGAACACTGTTTCCAATTATCAGCGTACCACGTGACACATACAGGTGCGATACACACCGTGACGTTTTTCGGTTGGTTCTTGGACTTGCAAAGATTCCACGCCACCGGCTTGCCCGTGCTCGTATTCACGCAATCCAAACGCCGTCGTTTATAACCGTTTCCGCATGACGCCGAACACTGATAATTAATTCGTACAGATAATATAAACATTGGCACATTATATTGGCTGAATATTATTGAATATTTTAATACCGTCAAAGCTGTACTGTTACAGTTATTAACATTTCGTTCATTTAACACGTATAAGTAGAGTACAACAACTTACACTGGACCAGGGTTCTGTTCGCCACGTGTAAAACTTATTGCTTTGTATGGAGTTCTTATCGTGTGCACTGTATTTGGTAGATATTTCGTTTCCATGTCGATGATCGTCGACGTCCAAGCATTGGGGTAAAAAGCATTTTTCTTCTTCGATCGGTTTTTCAATCGATTCACACGCCGTTATATCTGGTATGTTACATTTCACTGAACGTCTTACGAATCCAACACCGCAAGTAACAGAACACTGAAATAAATCAATACGCCGTCGACGTGTTTATTAATTCAAATTATATAATTTTTTTAATTAATCTAATTTTAGTTCATATTAATTAAGAGAAAATAACATTTAATAGTTTAAAAAAAAATAAACATATATTTATTAAAATTAGTTATTAAATAAATAGTATAGTAATGGGTACAATAGGAACTTCATGTATTTTGTATCAGTTGAACAGTATTAATTCTAGATAATACATGAAGTATGAGCATATCAATTTAAATACTAAATCAAATTTTGTATAATATTAATCAAGAATTCAGATGAGATCTTTTTTTGTATATACTATTAACATTGAACATTTTAGTTGTTCAATTTGTTACGTTTTGTATTGTATAATATGGTGATCCAAGAATTTTTTTTTTTTTAGGTCGTATGGTATTATAAATAATTGTATCTATATTTTCAAAGATACACTATAATTCGAAATAAGCTCTAATATATTTTTGCTCACGAATAAATAATTATAACTTAAACCTTCTTTTTCTATGATGTGAAAAAAAAAGAGAGTAGTATTGATTTTATTTTCAAAACATTGTTTTTAATTAAACCATTCTATTTAAAAAACATTTTTTTAAATTTTGATATTTTTTAATTAAATATAAAATCATTTAATATAGTGCCTTTTCTATTCATGAATTGGTTTTTTAACAACCAAATTTTTTATGATCACATATTTTACATAATCTATCAAATATCATAACAATAAAATAAGAAATATGTGATGATATAAATTAATTTAATAATATTAAAAAAAATTAGCTGTTTTGATAAAATTTAAATAATTCAAATAAACACTACAGGTCATTTAAAATCATAAATGCCTTCGACCCTCGTTATTTGTATAAGTGGTATTAGTGATCATTAAAATAGTGATAAACATAACAATAATATTCAAATAATGTAACAATTACTTATTATTCAATGTCACTAGTAAAAAACTTTTTATTTTTATAAAAACATATTTATTTGATTATTACCGAGGACCAAAGACCAGTTGTCCAATTGGGACATGGTTTCATTTTACAGGATTCTTTAGTGGCCGGCATGTTTGTACCGCAGTATTCTGAAGCTAATACTCTACCATTTTCCATACGGCACGACACCAAACGCTCCATGTGCCCTTCACCACAAGTTACTGAGCACTAATAATAACACAACAAATGCTTTAATTAAACAACGGTATTAATTTATTACAATTAACTCACTGATGACCATTCTCCAACAGACCATTGAGGACATTTTTCTGTCCCACATGTTCTTAAAACGATTTTCTCACTATCATTACACGATGATTCCTCCATGGATTCCCCATTGTCATTAACACAATGTGCCTCTCTGTATTGAACGCCTGACCCACAGGTTTTCGAACACTAGGCACCAAAATACGAGTAATTATAATTATTTATAACTTTAAATATGATAATTTTATTGTTAAAGAAATCTAAAAAGCACATAATTATAATACAGACAAACATTAAAGGAGACTAATCATGCATGCGTTTTAAATTAAATTTAAATGCACATATAAATACAAGCAAACATTATAATAATTATAAAACTCAATGAACAGTGTTATTGTGTAAGATTGTAAGAGATAAACAATTAAAAACTCTCATATTTACGAAAAATTTTCTTATAACGTGGCATAAAATGAAAAGCTTACAGGAGTCCATTCTGTAAATGACCACTTTGATTCTAAACACTGTCCGATGCAAACAATAGTGTCTGGAGGTTTCGGCAAATGAGAGCACTTTGAATCCGGCAGCTGGAAAACTACTGCTTTCTGAGATTCCTGAACACACGCGACGCTTTGAGTTCGTGTTCCTGGGCCGCATTGAGCCGAACATTCGGTCTGGCTTATAGACTTCCACCTGTATCCACAAAAAAAGTTGTCGGTAAAAACACGAAACGTATACGAAATTGTTATACTTCAGAAATATACGAGGAGTATGCGCTAGATTCAAACGTTGTCGTTATTTGTGCAAATATTTTGAAGGTTATATGTATTTATATTTAATATTGTAATTAATTTAAAACGACAAGATAAGAATACCATAAGTGAACTGTTTTCGAACTAAAAAAATGTATATTTACTTGGTAGTACAATGCATATTGCACGGTTGTTTTTGCGGACGGGGTGCGGTCTGATCGTTGCAAAAACCTCGAGCTTCTTCACCGGTTTCTTTGTTAATACACACATTGATCCGCGTCTGTTCGCCTAAACCGAACACACGAAATAAATATTATAAGTATAACCCCGAACACGAGACACCGAACGATACGACGTTTCGCGCAATGTACCTGAGCAAATTTGATCGCACTGTTCCCATCTGTCGGTCTGCTCCCATACGAAGACATCCCGTTCATCTGACATCACGGTGTATTGGTATTCAATATCCGGAACGTACAAATTTCCCATTGACAACAACTGTCGGGATAAAACACAACGATAATATTGTCTAATAATATAATACATATACACGAGTATATACCGTACATATCTGATGTCGAAAGGTTGATCACAAATAACGATAATTTCAATGGGAAAATAGTTTAAATCAAAACTCCTATCTAAAATATCAAAACAATACCGATGTATTCCCATAAGCCTTCTACGATCAGTGTTGACTTATGGATGTGAAACCGGGTTTGTAACCAAAGGAGATGAGGAAAAAATGTACACGTTCGAAAAAAGAGTATTGAACAGATTATATTATGGCTCTGTGGAACGAAAAACAAATAAGTCATGAAATTTGCCAACTACTCGAAAATATCTTTATCAGTAACCGGAAAGTAAATCATTACGAGCTGGTCATGTTCGGAGACATGAAGATGTAGCGAATAAAATCTTTCTGGGTGACTGTGACCCTGAAATTATAGTAACCGATTAAAAAGGATTAAGAATAGAAGACTGCAACGAGAACACAGATAGATGTAGAAGGGCGGTGAGGGGTATCGAAGGTCTAATGGACCTTAATACACATTAATGGACCGCAAAAACTGCAAAAGAAAAAGAAGAAGAAGAAGTTATTATTTCCTAATTCTGCGTCATGTTCTCCAGCATCGTATTTCACATCGGATTATAGCGATTATTATCAACAATTATTGCGGCATTACCTCGACGATCAGATCTTTGTTTAGCGGTTTGGACGAGTTGATCCGTTCGACCGGCACGTCCGACCCGCTGTACTCGATCGCGATGCCGCCGTACTCGATGACCTTATTAAACATGCTCAGCACGTAGTTGCCGTTAAGTATGTACTCGCCGGTGACGCTGTCCACTAGCACCAAATAATTGTCGTCCTTGCTGGAACCGTTGTACCCGTGCTGCCGGATGTCCAGGTTGGAGGAGCCGGCCGGCACGCGCAGCACCTTCGAGTATCCCTGTTGCGAGGTATTATACCGGCCGAACACCTGTTTGCAGCTGGAGTTGTTGCCGCCGCACACGCCGCACATGTCCAGCTGCCTGTCCGAGTTAAGCACGTGGTCGCAGCCGGCTTTCTGGCACACGCCGTGCACGCATATATCGTACTTGTCCGGTTCGCACGGCGTCCCATCCACCACGTTGTCCTTCAGCTGATAGTACGCGGTTGACTCGGCCACGCGGCAGAATAGTCTGCACCGCTCGTTTTCGTCTGGAAAAGAGAAAACCATGGTCAACACGATTCCGTTTTCGTAACAATGATAATGTATTACGATAATTGATTTTAGAATAAAATACTTTTAATAAAAACATTTAAGAAACAGCAACAATCAATAGTTGTCTATTATCAATAGGGTGCCATTGCCAGTATATTCTAAAATCAATGTCTGTAAGTTTGGTCACGTAAGCCGTTTTTTTTTGGAAAATATTACTGAGATATCGAAGATAACATTTTGATATACTTACAGCTTCCATATTTCGGTAACCACTGGACGTTCGACTCGAGATCTAGTATATCGAAGTTGTTGTTGTTAAACATCGCGCATTGTTCACCTCTAAATTTCGAAAATCTGATCAATTCATTGTACGATATTTAATTTCAGTTGTAAATTGTATAGATTTTTATACGTAAGCGTGATTTAGGAAAAAATATTTGTTATATGGGTGGGGGGGGGGGTGTGTTGAGAGAACCTCTGCATAGGAGCGATTCGGTCCAAGCTTTGGGTGGTGCCAGATTTAAATAAGTTATACAGCATGACAAGAAAATACTATTTGACAAAACAGCCAGCTGCAGTTACGGATAGAGGCGTTGAAAATGAAATAAATCTAAATTAAACCAATATAAATTTCAGGGGTGTATATTTTTGATTGATTAGAATCATTTATAACTAGAAATAAAAACTAATTTCTAATTAAATTCCTCTTATCCATTTTTCCATTTAAAAATATGTTCTTTACTCTCAATATAAAATGAACTATTATGTACAGTTAATACAAATTGAAAAATAATTATAAAAAATGATAGTGAATTTAATATTTAAAATCTTTTTTTACGTCTGATGAATATTTTAACTTCTTAAATCTCCAAAGCAAGAAGATGACTTTCTCCTAAAGAAAATACCAGGGTAACAAGTGAAACGTATTTTTATAAGAACTAACCGGAAATCTGGAGTGCCCGGTGGACAGTCATTCGTTGCACAGCTTCGTACTCTAACGCGTTTTCCGATGCAGTATTTTCCTCCATTTGATGGTGATGGTTCGGTACATTCTCTGAAACTTCTCCTTACACCTCCCCCACATGTTCTCGTACACTCACCGTAACTAACAATTTAGAAGACAGTTATTTGAGTGCTATTCTCAAATTAATTTTCAAGTCAATGCAATTCATTCAAATTGTGTCATAATTATTTTATATTTTTATATAATATATTATATTATATCTTATAATGCAGTTTCTTGTTTTAAAAATATTTTCAATTAACTATTTATCGATATTAGTTAGTTACTAAAATCATTATTATTTTGGTTAAATGTGATCGTAATGAACCTAATTACTTAAATATCTTAAAGTTGCGGTTAAAAGCTATTCATTTCACTTATAGTTATTGTTTTAATTTTATTCGTTTCGGTATATATTAATAATGATGTCAAATAAATATACGAGTAATATACCGCTTAATGTATTTAAGTTTTCAACAAAATATATTTTCCTTATCATTGAATCACTAAAAATTGATTTTATGTATAATGCAAAATGTAATTTTATTTGAATTCGTTTGAAGATGTTTATCAATAGGAATAAGTTTCTTAAAACTGTAGAATAATTTTGATTTTAGTAAAATTATTAAAAAAAATTATATATGTAATTTGACACTTTGTATCTTATAAATTAAATGTGTTTTTGTACAATCCCTTATTGGGATTAAATATAGTATATGTATTTTGTTCAGTCGTAAGGATACACGATTTAATCCTACTGAATAAAAAAAAAATTAAATGATATTGAATGAACCATAAATTATAAATGTAATTTCATATTTTAAATCCTATTAAAAATTAGTTTACACAAGTTAAATTATATATGTTTTTATTATTTTTCATCGAAAGTCTCCATCGTTTATGATGTATTATGGATGTATATAGATTTTGATGAGTTCTAAACACTTACGGTTGCCAAGGTCCCCAGCCACCATCGACTGGTTTTAACAATTCTCGGTCTTTAGGTACACATTTTCCTTCCTGACACCATTTTTTATCGTCCCAGCATTTTGTACCTTCAGCCCATGGCATGTGTTGGGTAATACAACCATCCTTCTCCTCAGATCCAGTTGTACACCATAATTTTTGACATACCGGCTATAAATGTTGGTTCTAGACTGAATTTATGAATAAAAAATAATAAAAAAAATCTTTTTACTCACCATGTAGGAACATATTTTTGATTTAGAACCATAAATCAACTCGCACTGTTTATCTGCCGAATAGCTTTCACCGGGTAAATATTTTTTATCTCTCTGGTTTTCGATTTGAAGGTAATCCGTGCTGGGATCATCTTGAAGACATTTACCATTACCAGCTCTTTAGAAGAAAAAAAAAAAATTAATATATTTTTGAACCAAATTTTAAATATACACTCACTCCAAATACTCTGTCAAAAAATGTCGACTACAAACTGACCAGGTCCATGGATGGGTGTCTTGACTTAACTTTATCGACATGACATGACTCATTTTATCAATACCTTCGAAATCTTTACACTTAGCGTCATTGTCGTGAGGCATATTCAACCTAAAGGATATTTTAGGCTACATTAGAATGAAAAAAATTACAATTTCGGCATTGAAAGTTTATTAACATACACATGTCCCAATTCATGAGCAATTGTAAACGCAGCGCTCAGACCGTTGTCCTGTACAATTGCGCAACTATTAATTTTACACATAGTACCTAATTGCGCTAATCCAAGGGTATTATCACATTTTTTCTGATTATGATGTCGACAGACGTGTTCCCTATAAAATGAAAAAAAAATTATAAAATTATTATACATGTGTAGAATAAACAGATTCTACGAGGAATAACGATTTCTACGGCAATACTAATAATGTATAAAATGTCTTGCAAAATATGACTATACTGTACGAACGCGGAGTAGAGAAAAATACTGCGAAACGATATTGAAACAGTTCTGGAATATGAAATTATCTTGGTCAAATAGTGCGTACGGTACGTGTGCTGTTTCGACTGTTTGATAAATTATATGCGTTTTTCATTCATGAACTCTTGCAGTGTGCCCAAGTCAATGAAATGTAGAAAAAACCACGTGTAAATTACAACCGGTTTACAGCATAAAATATACTATCCTCGATGCATCGAACAAACGAGAGTCACCGCCCTATGACCCCGCGACATAGTGGTCTCTCGTTGTTATTATATCTAAACGTATTCATGAATGATCGTCTCAAAAACCATATAATATACTTTGAAGCGATTAATTTGTGTACATGACAATCATTTACGTCGCCAACTAATAGCGTCACCGTCTAGACGCAGTTTTTATTGTTGTGTTACATAAGTACATACCTGGTTAATAGTATAGCTGCATCATGGTGGTTTCCGCTGGAATCGTTCTCATCGTTGTGATACGTTTGCCATTCGCAAAATTTTTGTAACATATCCGCGGCCACAATGCCACCCATACGGTTTCGGTTTTCGGCAAAATGGATATCCCTCAAGACGACCAGCTTAACAACAGCTATGTGCATTGGGTTTCCTATGCTTTTGTCTTTATAAATTTTCGACACCTGAAACAGCGGTAAAACGTTTAACGTAGTGGTCACATTATACGCGGATAAGGTATGACAATATTTCCAACACACTTACGATCGACATGAGAGTGAGAATGTAACTGTGCAGCTCCTCCCCGTGATAATCGGCCATTTTCTTGTCCGCAACAATCATAAGTTCTACAACGTTTTCTGAAGACAATGACCTTTTCTTCCTGGATTTCGGTATTAACGGTTTATCGTTAGAACTAAAAAATCTATCGTTTTCTGTTGAACTACTTGCATTAGTTTCTGACATCGTTTTTACTTCCGTACTGCTCTCATCGTTTATTGTGTCTATATCGTTTTTAACATTATTGTCTAAAGAAAAAAATACAAGAAAAGCTATGAATACTTATTGCATTTGATTTTATTTATTGCAAAATCTGAACGAGTTGAATGTAATTCATGATTAAATAACACTATGATCAAGTAGACAGATTTAAATCAAATTTAACATATTTTAATGTAATCAATTTTTAATATTTTTACTATTTAAAATTTGAAATTATTTAAGAAAATGTATTGTGTAATATGATCCACATGAATGTATGTTTCAGTCCAAATATTATGAGGAAGACACACACTGTTCATATAAATATTTCAGCTACAAATTAATTTCGATTGATAAGTTCGAACTCATCAATCGTTTAAATAAATAAACGGATCCATTAAGAAACTGATAAGTTGATTATCACATATATGTTGAATGAAAATCAATTTAGTATACAATTTTTAGTGACTGTTTCAAATGCACCTGAAATTCCTATCCCGACGGGAGACTAGCTGTCTGTCTGTCTTTCTCTCTTTCTCTTTCTTTCTTTCATAGAATAGAATATGATGGGCCTTGATATTGAATTAATGTTACTGAATCAGTGGTACGAAGCCATTTATGAACAAGTAGGATGGTGAATATGATAATACACTAAAGCTTTAGTAGTGGCATGACCAAATAACGTAACAATTTAACATTTTAAAGGAGAAAAACCTATTTATCATCGTAGAAATATTGTTATTATTTATTGTTGTATTCGTTTGTATAATATTACGAACAACAATCGTTCATTGTATTTTCATCGCAATCAGGATGCTAAGGAAATGGCGATCCTGCGGTAACCGCTAATGGTGCTTTAATGGACCCGAATAATGTACGGGACACGTTTTAAATCATCTCCTGCAGGCTTATCATCAGTCGGTGGATTATAAGTATAATAACGTTTCCGACCGGTGGTCGGTTCAATTATCATGATTCGTTATTATATATATTATTTATATTGTTTCTTCACCGTCCATCCACGTATTATAAGATTACAATAATATTACTATCGTGACGGCAATAATGAATATAATATGCATACAATATAATATATATGTGTGTGTGTGTGTGTGTATGTGTGCACTCTTCGAAAAGCAGCTCCCATACACCGATTGGATTTACGATATACCTATACCCTTATAGCGCTTTGGTTTTTAACTGGATGTTTACAATAGTTGGTTTGTGGCGTAGGTACATGCGTGCGATTGTTCATAATAAGCGAGGGATAAGCAAGACACGATGGAGGTCCTCTTTGGTTTTACATGGTAAAGTGCGCTCGTACAATCCATTATTCGTTTATTATAATTTTTTATTTTTTTACATCATATTCTTGTACCGGAGTTGAATGTTTTCATGTCATATACATACCTTGTACTCCGCAATTTTGCTCGTGTTGATAAGGTTTTTCTATTTGTTCGGGTAACTCGTTACCATCGGCCAACGGACGAGCACGGTAAATGGTGTGTAACGTCGGAGTCACGTGGTCATTTATTGTCTCTGAGGGTTCTATGAAGTAATTACCAGTAGCAGTGCGAATGTACCCGGTCTGAAAAATATGTGAAAAATATAGGTTAATATTATTATGAAAAAAAAATCCAAATTCTTAACATAATTCAAAACATTCTTGCGGTATTTGAATTGAATTAACTAGAATTAAACAATTATTTTGTACGTATGTAATTATACACATGATGAATGATTGTCAATATTATTTTTATTCAAACGGGAATTTATAGATGTATAAATTTGATGATAAATACTTGTTGATCGAAAACAAAATAAAAACGATATAATAAATTTTACAATTCATAAATTTAAAAAAAATATGTTATATACATGAAGCTTATAAAATATATTAGTTAAAATCCAAAAAATTATCCTATTAAACCTGCATATTTTACAAAAATAAAAAAAATATAAAAATGTTGCGCCGTCTTGTTGTAACCATACAAGAATACCTACTGATCTCGGTAATTTTCTTTGACCTTATTTTGACCAAATGAACATCAAAAATACTTGGTTTCAACTTGTTACACTTCAAGAGAAACAATCACTCTGCTGCGTAAGAAGTTCCTGGATAGACTAATCCCGTTGTGTGAAGACCAAAGCTACGCATTTCGATCTTGCGACTTGACGCTGTGTGATATTTTCTTATGGGGATAAACTAAGTCACGAATTTACCAGAACAAAGTTCAAAATGTCTTGGAACATGAAAAAAATTCGTCGTGTCCTCAACGAACTTGATGGAGCAATGTGTGATCGAGTGATGATAAATTTTATGGAAAGAATAATCGCTAGTAGGGAGGTTCATATGTACGATACTGTTTTTCACTGTTAAATTTTAACTTCTTCTGAAGAGAATGATGTATTTTTTAGGTTTTTTTTTAAAAGAAATAAATTTAATTTATAGCAGATTTAAATCCTGCGTTATTTTTGAGACACCCTATAGTTACAGTTATGAAAGTATTAAAAAATTCATTTTTTAATATAATTTAATAGATGTAGGTGTCAAATTATGGGATTATACGAGTAGTTGTAGATAAATATAATCAGTTGGTAATAGTAAAAGAAAAAATATAGTTCTGTAAAATTTACAATAATATACACTACTTAGTAAGTACTAAGTAGTAACTATTAAGCTAAGCAATAAAATATATAATGAATAAATCCATTCGAGTATAGCTTAGAATAATTATTTTATACTTAGTTACAGAAACTAAAAAAAATTTTAAATCAACCTTTTTGCGTTTAAGACCTTAAGTAATCAAACTGTGAATTTTAAATAATTTATTTTTCAGGCTTTTTTTGACATTTATAACATTATTCCATTCTTATTGTTCAGTCAGCACTCACGGAAAACTTCTGCGGAAACGTTAGTCATACATGATATATTATTTCATCTTAATGTAGTGTCCACTTTTAAAAAAGCATTGATTATGGTATAATTAAAACTTTGTATAGTATGAATGTACCACGAAACAAAATAATATGCACGTAGTGCGGTGAATTGGTCACGAAAACAATAATGATAAAATGTGAATCATTGAATTAAAAACCTCTCTATCCTTGCTGGAAGGCTTTTTAAGATATAATTTTCTTTGTTATAAATCCTCAACGGGTGATAAGCCGCGTATATGTACCTATTTTGTTTTACATTGTTTGTTTCCTCACATCGCACACGAAGTTCTTATTAAATGGATAAAATAATAATAACAATACCGAAATGAATCATATTTCCTTGTGAATCATTCCTATGCAACGTTTTATTTTTACATTTTGAAGTATGAATATAACAAATGTTCCCGAAAACTTCGGAACGACTACATAGGTCACGTGATATATCTTTCATACAATGATACATGATTAAATAATTTTTTTTTTACATTTTTTATTTTTAACTTCGGAAACGTTTTTAGATAAACAATTGTACATTGATTTTTAACTCCGGAAGCGGTTTTAAGAAAATTAACGTATAATAACTGTATACTTATATAGTTTTAGGTTCGAAGTGAATTGAGGAACGTATTTAATTTAAAAATATTTGAATTCATGAAAACAAAATTGCATATATTTATGAGACTAAATATAAGACTTATTAATATAACTTGGTTAATTATAGCAAACTATGCTCGCATATCGGATAAACAAACAAACAATAATTCTACTACGAAAACATTGATCGTTCAATTTATACCGTTATGACCGTTTCAATTGATATTGCTATAGTATCGTAGCTAAAGTTTTATTTAAGTTTTTATGAGTCATGTAATTCAAATTAATTGTTATCAAAAATAGTTTGAAGTTATTTAGTTAACTATTTAACACTTGTGTTATTATGTACATATTGTATAAAATTAGTAACAAGTTCTACTATAAATAGTTGTATTTTACAATGAGGCTTTGACAATAATAATAGCTATGAAGGTACAAACAAATGTAGGTCTAGTATTGTTTAAAATAAATACATTAACTATTTTATAACTGGTAACCATCTATATACAGTGGAGCGTCGATTATCCGCACGTCAATTATCCGCACTACAAATTTTTTGAGTACAAATTTATTTTTAGTTTAATTTAATTTAGTTTTATCATTCGTTATGTTATATCGTGTACTATAATGTTATACAATATATGTATATATATATATATTTTTATATTATTTTATATATATAATTTTTTATATTATGTATGAATATTATATTTAGTATTATATCTAGTAAATTAGTTTTTAACTTTATATTACAATTTTCAATGGTTGTTTGATTATCCGCAAAAATCGATTATTCGCACCCCCTTCGATCCCAATTAGTGCGGATAATCGACGCTCTACTGTATTGTTTTTCATAGTTATGGATATTATAGAGTATTAAGACCTGAACTGGTCAGTAATTAGAAATAAAATAATGGTAGATCTTAAAGGACATCCAACATTTATACATCACATCAAAACTAGACAACTAAAATTATCACATCAATATTCATTGTGCAGTATAATTGTTTTTATGGTCCTCAAGGCAGGCGAAAACTATATTATATAATTATAACGACAAGTAAAATTAGTCGAGCACTCGACTACATTATTTGTCAACATAAAGTAGTAAGTGAAGTATTGTTATTTTACGCTTTTAAATGTCGTTTTATAATATAGAAAGATCAGTCCAAGGTGGAACTCAGTTAATCGAAAATAGTCAAAATTATTTCCGAATCCGATGTGCACAATATTTTGGAAACCCATGTGGCGAATGTAGATACTCTCAAGTTTAAATTGTAATAATATATAAAATGTATCATCATTTAGATTCCAAACAATGATTCATTTTACAACTAAAATCGACTTTCATTACAATTTTGTACTGAAAATATCAGTTTTTTTAATTTTTGAAATAGCCTAAAATGTTAAACATTTGAAACATGTTAAAAAAAATGTTCAATCATATATTAAATTTACTAATTCACTAATCTAAATTTAAATAGATAAATATTATTATACGAGTATATAACAATAAAAAAAAAAAAAAAAAAAATTAAAAACATAGATACTTTTTTTAAAAGTTCAGTAAATTATTTTATTCTTCAGTTTTATTTCAAAAAATGATTTTGTTTTCATTGTTACATAGTAACAACTAATAAATATTTTAATTTACAAAGTGATAGATGCTTCCATTGATGTTATAAATAGACAACTGAAATACGATATCTAAAATAATATATAAAATAGAACAAAAAATTAGCTTCTTTCATACTAATAGAAAAGTAACCTAAGCATAATTTTTTCATAACTTAAGCTGTACAATTGTTGTTGGCAAATGACATCAGTAATAAAATAAATACCATATCTAATTACATTCCAACATAATAGGTAAACACAGGTGGTCAGAGGAGTTTTATGAAAAAATTTTATTTTATTTCAGGAAACAGTGTATACGAATTATTCAAGGTATAAATCAATATATATATATTGACACGAAGTATCATCATTGACAAATGCACATGTATTATAATATTAAGACGTATGATTTATTAGCTTGTTTGGTCATTTTATAAATTATAAACTATTGAAATACAACCTTATACACTGTTTGTGATTAAAATAATATTAAAAGATTGACCATAGTATCACGAACATTGGGATAATACAATAATAAATAATTAACCTGAAGGTAACCTGCATGGTTAAAAGTTTAAAAGGTCATTAGAAACAACAAGCGTCTTCAAAAGTAAAATTGAAACTTAAATTAATGAAACATTATAACCTCGAAATATATTTAAGTATTTAAGTAAATAGGTATGATAGAAAGTAAATTGCTAGTTAAATATGTGATCCTTTAAACTGTTGATTTATATTTACATTAGGAATACTCGTATTGTTAACCAATTTGTAAAATAATTTGGGTGTTATTATTTAAAACTAAATTAAAATTATTGATGATTTTAAATTTAAATGAAAATGTATTCGATTATTTTTAGGTAATAACAAATAAAAAAATAATAATTTGTTATATCTTATTCATTCTTTAAATTTATTTTTTTGAAATCTATATTTTTAGTTGCAAAATTTTCAATCGATTTAAATATTTTAATTCAAGTATTTAGAAATGAATTGTTATTATTTATTGCTACTATTTAATCATTACTTGTGAAAATATGGTTTATATGTTTAAAATAGAAACATTTTAAATTTAAATTACAAATTTAACCGGTTAATGTTTGTGGTTTTTAATATAGTAAAGATTACAAGGTATTTTAAAATATATAAGTCTTATGATGTTGGATAATTAACATTAATTTGTTTCGTCTTATGTTATATATTAATTCAACTCGCTTTTACATTAGTTGTAAAACTAGTTTAGAAATTTTTTATTAGAAACGATGTTTACCAAAATAAAATCTATAGAATTTTTTCTCAGTCATATTTTGAACCATAATTTTTGTATAAATCCAAGATTTTAACAGGATTGTCATCAATATTTTACGGAAACCATTTATATAGATTTATTACGTAGAAAAAAATTACTTCAGTGGATTAATTAAATATTTACCTGTA